AAGAACCTTATCCAATTGTCATCTGGAAGTTGGAAATGGAAATGAATACCCCGAAATACATTACACACCAAGTACTGATATGACTAGAGTCTTTAGGGATGTGTTGAAATATGTTCACAAAAATAATGAATACGGTGAAGGGTCATTACTCAATAAATCTAATTTTAGTACCCTGCCTCCATTCTTATATTTCGACTTAACAAAACAAAAAATGGACATTAAGGATGGCACCACAAAACTGACATTTAAATATGAGCTATCTGGAACAACGGCAACAGCCTACTCAATTTACGCATTAACATTATATGAACAGGATGTTGAGCTAATACAGAAGGATGGCAAAATAATACTCAGATCGTAAATTGAATATGGTTAAAATTATGTAACGTATATTATATATATAAGTAATGACGAAATATTATCCTTATGGTGTGTCAATTAGTAAAGGACAATTGGAAAAGCTTTCGAGAGCTTATAATAATAACTCAGCAATAACCATCAGATTAGCCAGAAATGAGTTATCCGGTCCACACGAATTAATGCTCACAAAATCTCAGATCAATAAGCTGAGAAAAGTAATGAGCCAGGGTACAGGATCGGATATCAAAATATCAAAAACACAAATCAGAAAGGCTGTTAAACAGGGTGGTAGTTTGTGGGGATCGTTAATCAATTTAGGAAGCAAGTTGTTACCTATGGCAATGCCCCTAGCCAAAAAAGCTATCGCACCGCTTGCAACAGGAGCGTTATCAGGATTAGCCAGTCTCGGTGTGGATAAAATATTCGGAATAGGTCAACGAGGAGGTTTTCTTATTCCAATGGACAAAATAGCACATTTGGTTGCATATAAACATTTACTATCCACAGGCCAGAAAAGGGATATTCTTAATGCTCTCCAAACTGGTAACGGATTAGTTATCAGACCGACGAAAACACAGCAGGGTGGTTTTTTAGGAACTCTGCTAGCGAGTATAGGTGTCCCCCTGTTACTAAATGCATTGACGGGAAAAGGACTGCAGGCTGACAGAACCGGTTCCGCTAATACAACATCTGTTTATGTTCCCGATACAACTAATGGCCACGGAATGTATAATCCGTATCCCTACATGTCGCCACCTTTCTTTGGAACATGGGAAAATCCAGTTGGTATGGGACTAAAAAAAAAAGAAAGGGAAAGGGACTGTTGCTCGGAAAAAACAGCCCATTCAATTCAATCCCAATTCTAGGAACAATACTGTAAAATTCATAAACAAACCATTCTCGAATACTGATTTGTTACAATGGGTCAAACAATTAGGAATAAAATATTTTAGGGGTATTTACAGCCGTGATAATTTACCAGACAAAATACACAAATTGGAAACAGGAATAATTAATCTTGATGATTCAATGGGCGGGGGCAGTCATTGGATTTGTTATAGAAACGTGGATAAACAATATTGTGAATATTTTGACCCGTTCGGATTAATCATGCCCAATGAAATCAAAAATTATCTGAAAACAAGCGGTAAAAAAATGGTGTACTCATCAGATGAATTACAAGAAAGAGACAGTGTTTTACGCGGTTATTGTTGCTTATATTATCTTCTAGAGAGACAAACGGGTAGATCATTATTAGACGTTATACATAACCCCAAATTCAGTTTCACAAATCAAATGATAAATCACCAATTTCTGATAAACTATTTTATGTAATCCATATATATAAGATGACTGAGAAGTTCTGTGTTTATTGCCAAGAAGTAACTCCACATTATGTGAATCAAAATGGATGTTTCGAGTGCTGCAACTGTGAACCCCTGAGTGAGAGTGATTATGAGTCAGATAGCAGCCATGAAACTTATGTTCCAGACGGTAGTGATAGTGATTAGACAATAATTATATAACATAAATATATAATAATGGTAAAATCTTATTGTGTTAAACAGAAGAAGCAAACAGAATGTGTAGAACCTTCGGATTATAAAACTGCCAAAAATGGTAGACTTATGTTTTGGTGCACTTGTACTGAATGTGGAATAAAAAAGTTTAAGTTTGTCAAGAAGGGAAACTAGGTCAGCCTGTCCTAGGGGCAGGCGTAATAGACACAGTAGCTGGTACTGCTCTTGATGCGTTTGTACATCACGGGCTTCCTTGGATGGGTAAAAAGGCAGTTGAAATGGGAAGATATTACGGGTCAGAAGCGCTCAGAAACCCTAAATTACAGAAAAAAGCTATAGATTATGCTCTAGATAAATTGAATCCAATGATTTAGAATGTCGGTTCTCAAGCTCTTAACCAGTTATCAACTAAAATACGACCAAAGAAAAACTACAAAACTAACAGAAAAGATCTTGATGGTGGTGCTATAGATATCCACAAGCAGATTGGTAAATTACCGAAACCCGCAGGCGGATGGACCTTACCAGGGCATAAATATACAGGCCCTTACAACGATCTCGAAAATCAAGTAAGATACAATCCAGAAACTGGTGAAATATTAGAAATTTATGATCAACCAACTGGGCCAACCGATGCCGTGGCAATGCAACATGATGTTGATTATAGTGTTTGTGGTGATAACCGAAAGTGCAAAAATAAAGCTGACCGTAAAATGGTAAAATCATTAGACGCCATTCCTTATAATGAACGACAATGGGGACACTGGTTAGCAAGAAATCTAATAAACACAAAACAGAAACTCGGTCTTGGTTTAAACTAGAAAAGCCGTCGGGTATCAGTTGGCAACAGCAATTAGCGGATGAATTACATAAACCTATAAAACGCAACTTTACTCGGCGGCGTGTTATTACAACCGGTATTGACAAAATTTGGTGCTCAGATCTGGTTGAGATGCAACAGTTCAGCAAATGGAACAAAGGTTATAGATATCTTCTCATGGTTCTAGATCTATTCTCCAAATATGGCTGGATTGTCCCATTAAAGGATAAGAAAGAGGAAACTGTCACAGAAGCATTCAAAACAATCTTCAAGGAGGGCCGCAAACCACAATATCTTTGGACTGAAAAGGGGAAAGAATATTATGATAAAAATGTGAAAGAACTGTTAGAAAAG